CCACGGAAAGCCATGGGGCCCGTCTCGCCAACGAGAGGGTTTCATACAAATAGTTTCGGGCCCACTTGACTGTGTAAACTGTCAGGCATGCAGATGAAACGGTCAGATGCCAGCTTACTGTATTGAGTCGGTGCAGTGATACGTGCGTATTTACAGTCATTCGTGACGTGATGTTCGGGGACTGAGGAACGGCACGTCGCTCTTCCGTGTCTCACCCGGGAGCCAGCTCGTCTCAGGCTCTCGGGGCAGCGTCTTCGGCCTCAGAGCCGCTGAGCGAGTCCCCAGGCCCAGGTCCACTGCACCTGGGGTCTGAGATGCTCACCTTGAGGTCCACGTCTATGTGTCACTGGAAGCTGTATCCAGGCCGCTGACTCTGTTCGCAGCCTCAGGGCAGGTGGCCGGAGCTGCTTGTGGTTCCTCAGGGCGGTGGGGGCGGCGATCTCATCAGCTTCGCTGCCCGACTCCGGCGGGTGCAGTTGTGAGCTTATGTCCCCGAAAATGATCACAAGACGTGTGAAATCTCCCTTCCTCCTTTTTTTTTTTTTTTAATTGTGACTTCTGTTGGGCCTGGGTAAGCGTCCAAAAGCAGCATCGATTGGTGTCAGTCGTTCGTTGTAACTTGGAGAGGCCTGCGTGATATGAGACGCTGTGGAAGAGCCTGGAAGTCAGGCAGCTTCCCTTTTTTTTTTCTGGTGGGTGAAAAAAAACCAAAACACCTTGGCCTTTTATGTACGCGTAGGTCATACGTTACATATTCTGTAAAGTTTCTGCAACTCTAAGGACTATTTTGCCACCCAATCTAAATAGCGAAGACAGAAACTTATTACAGGAAGGAGCCGCTGTCTTAGGAGCTCACGCCTGTGAACTTGCCCCTGTACTGGTTCCAGCTGCGTCGGTTTCCATGGCGAGGTGTCCTGCTGGGGCAGGGTTCCGGGCTGGGGGGGTCAGAAGCGACCGTGGAGCGCTCTTCCTTGGCAGCGCCCTGCTGGCGATGGGGCACGCCCGATGTCACGAGGCCACCTGGCCGAGTCTGAGAGCTCTGGTCGCCGGCAGCCTCTTTTACACTTAACCTTGGGCCCCAACTAGGCTTCTTAGAGGGACACAGACCAACCCTGCTGCTTTCTGTAGGCGAGTCTCTCATTCTGAACATCCCTGTGGGCCGTCTCCACCCCAGCTGAGGCCCCCAGCCCTTCCAGCCGCTCTTGGGTGAAGCGGGCCTTGCAGTCAGTATATCGGGGTTACAGTCAGGACAGAGGTGGTTTTGGGGGGACTGGGCTTCTCCCTCTCTTAGGATGCCCATCAGCACCTCCAGCCCACACCCGATAAACAGAGACTCCAAGTACAAACCGTGTGGTTGCAATGAAAACAGCTTCAGGAAAGTCCCCGGCTTCCCTTTTTCCAGTCCGATGGCTGCCCTGGAAAAGAGAGTTCGCCGAAAGGCTCTTGGGGAGCCTCCAGTTGTGAGAAGCAGAGCCAGGCCCACGGGGGCCCGGGACAGATGCCTCTGTCGCTGCGGCCATGGGACTCCCTCTGCATCTCTGCTCCACAGCCCAGCTCCGCCGTCCGCCAGCCCCAGGAGGCCGAGTGTCCCCTCGGCTCCGTCTCTGACTGCAGAGCCCCCCGCACTTTGACTCGCCTCCCTGACTCGTGAACCCGTCTCCCCTGGGCTCCGAGTCCACGCGGGTCCTGCGCCCGCCTGGGAGGTGTGTTCCGCAGAAGCGCAGGCAGAAAGCGCGGTTGGATTTGTTGGGCCGCAGGGAAACACGAGTAGGGAGTGCTCGGCCCTTCCCTTTTGGTCCTTGAGCGCGTTCTGAGCCATTTTCAGTCCTTGTGTCGGCCCGAAGCTCCGCATTCCCACGGAGGGAGAGAATAAGCTCTGTTAGCACAGCCGCCTGCGCGTCCTCAGCGGGGAGGACGCAGATCCGCGCGGGCGCCCAGGCTGCTCCCCGAGCCCGGCTCAGGCGCCCCTGCCCCTGGTGCGAAGCCGGAGCCTGTCTGGCGAGAACGTATCAGTGATGTTGTCTGATGTCATTTTTGTCAGCTCTTCAAACAGTACGCACCTGATTCAGTTTCGTTTCCCTTGGATTTACAGTCTGCAGAGTTACTGAATTCCAAGCTGCCTCGGTGGCAGAAAACCTGTGGTGACGCCACCAAAGTCCCGGAGGAAATCATCAACATGATCGAAGAAATAAAGACCCCGGTGTCCACCCCGACGTCCTGGACGCCTCAGCCCTCACCCATGGTCGAGAGGAGCAGCATGGTAGGAACCGGTCACCTCTGAGATTTCAGTTGTGTGTTAACTTTTTAAGATTTGTGTTTTTATTGATTTTAAGAGAGGAAGGGAGAGGGAGAGAGCGAGGGAATCATCAGTGATGAGAGTCATTGGTCAGCTGGCCCTGCACGCCCCCGGCTGGAGATGGAGCCTGCAGCCCGGGCGCGTGCCCTGACCGGGAATCGAACCGGTGGCCTTTTGGTGCACAGATGCCGCCCGACCAACTGAGCCACACCGGCCAAGGCAAAATCATCCAGGCCAGGGGGGCGGGGAGGTAGGTGGGGCATACATAACACAAGACTGGCCAGGAAATAACTGTCGAAGCTACGTATTGGGTCCGTGGAGATGCACTGGGCTGTTCTCCCTACTCTTGCACCTGTCTGAAATTTTCCTAAAATAAAAAGGTTTTGTTTTTCATATCTCCCTCTGCCCTCAAAACAACAACAAAACCGTAGCAACAGTAGATGGGCTCGTTAAAAGAATGGAACCTCTTGGAAAGTTAAGCCCCAAACGCTTCCAAAACATGGCACAAAAGCAGAAAGGGGACGATCCTAATGCTAGACCAGCTGAGACGCGGGAGGTCCACTCCGCCGCCCGCCGGCATCACCTCCGGGTGTCTCATGCGCGCCTCAATTCCGCTTGTCCAGAACCGGGCAGCTGACTGTTTACTCTCAGCCTGTTGCCCGCAATCTGCCCCGTCCCGTAAATGGCAGCTTCTCCCTTCCGGGAGCTCGGACACAAGACCACGGTCCTCTCTTCCCCGCCCGGCCACTGTCACTGCCTGGCCGCCCCTGTTGTTTCCGTCTTAGCACGTCCCAGTCCCGCCCCTCGGCCCTGCAGCGCTCTGACTGCGCCCCTGCGGCCGCGACCTCAGCCGCCTTCTGCCGGGTCCCACGCGGCAGCCAGGGGACCCCGGACGAGCGGAAATGACCAAAAACCTCGACAGGCTGCAGAATGTTAGGAATAAAGAACATTCTGAAAACCTCCAGGGAGGGGAAAAATAGATCACTCGCAAAGAGAAACCTTCGGCCCGGCCGGGCGTGGCTCAGCGGCTGAGCGTCGACCTGGGATCCAGGCGGTCGGGGTTCGATTCCCGGTCAGGGCACATGCCCGAGTTGCGGGCTCGATCAGTGACTCTC